AATAATAATATTGTCACGTGGTGTTTCTTGTTTAAAACTGACAAACCTAAATCTTTTTACCGACAGTTGCGCCTTCTATTCATGGCACACTGTGAATTTGAATCTGGCTAATCTAAAAAGACATTGGCGATTAGTAATTTAAAGTATACAGTATTTAGTCTGTAATTTCAAAATTATCGTTATATAAGATATCATTAAATGTGCGATTAATTTATAATTGAATTAAAATTATTTGCAAAACAAGCATATAATACATAAATGTCTAAATTGGAGACAAATATGTATAGACCATAGTTTGGGACTCTTTGGAAGTGGGATTAGTTTTCATACGTTTTATTATTTGTTCATTTAATTCCTCGTTATTAGCAATGATTTTATGCCATTGAGTCTCCAGACAGTCAAACACATTGTCTTTTATGTAATCAATAGCTCTTGCCTTTAGATCATTGTTCCCGTATTTGTCCATCACTTCCAACACTTCGATCGCATTCTTCGGATTTATTCGCAAGAAATATAAATTCTCGCAAATATTCTTCAGATCTGAGACCATATACTTGTTCGAGACGTAAAGCAATTCTTCGACCATTGCTTCTAACTTTTCTGTGTCTCCGAAATACAAGAATCTCAGGAACTCTTCGAAGACAATGGGATCGATGTCATCGATAATCATATCATTAGTTGCCTTCTCAGACATATTGCTCTCAAATGTCTTACAAAACACTTCCGAATGACTGCTGAGAATAGCTTTAGAAGCGAAGAACTCTTTGCCGCCGACGAGAAGCCGACAGTCACTCAACTCTTTATTATTAAAATGATTTCGAAAGCAAAATCTCTTCGTGTGTCCGAAGTTTAGTGTCTTATAGACAGTAATATCGTAGACAATAGTGAGTGTATTGTTAGGCAAATATGTGTCCATTTGATCCAATATTTCAGAGCTGGTTGCAACATTTTCAACCATCAAAGCCTTATTCAATAGAATTGATTTTCTTCCCACGGATTTCTCGTTCAGTCGCTGACAATCAGCGCCCAGAATATAAGCCATGAATTGTGCATCAATTGTCTCATTTATACTCTTTATTAGTTTGATATAAACACTGATATCAGTGATAGTGTCAATACATTCAATATCGCTGATTGGGTCGTAAAGAGTGACAACCAATTGCCACACATCGGGTCCGATGTGGAATTGATCGCTATATACATTGCCGCTCTGTTCAGTCATGTTGTTCACTCTGAACACCGCACTAGTCTTGAAGATCATTTCAGTTGATCCCATAATGATAGTCACAATGGTATAAATTTTAGTATATGTTTTTAATAATTATCTAAAATATATATTAACCGTTTTTAAATATCTAATATACTTTTAATTTTATTCAATATTTACTAACTATGCTTGAATTATGACGGTCACCTTAGCATTAGTCATGGATTGAAATCTAATACTTTTTAAATACCAATCAATGCTTTAAATGTGTATACTTGGTGTCTGTAATAAATCCCCTCTAATGAGTGAATTGCGAAATAAAATACATATTTATTTTCAAATTTATTAAAAAATTAATAAAATCATTGGAGAAATCGGACACTCGTTTGCTTTACTTTTATTATAACATAAGGTGTGAACACCAAAGGGTATACAAACAAATAAATTAAAAAGTATATTCAATTAAAAGTATATTAACTTAATTTATTTTAAACATATAACTTTTCATTTCCATCAAAACACATAACACTTGAATACTATTTCATGCATAAAATTCTTTCGCAATAAATATTAAAAAATAAAATTGAATAACATTTGATACAATTAATACATCATTTTTAAACTGACAAACAGTGGAATACAAATAGTTAGCAAATTAACAAATAATCTCATATTAAAAGCCAATAAACTGAATGTTTGTCAAGTCTTGTGTAGAGTCCATCACAATCTGTTTCACATCAATATTCACACCAATCGTACGATACGTATAATGAATGTAACGGTTTTGTACCGCTTTTTGAATCAACGCGTGGATCAGATTCTCACTTATGTTCAATGAATTTTGCATAAGAATTGTATGCAAACCATGACATCCATTGACCAGCGCTTCCACACCACCATCGGTCACAGACATGAGGTCATCGTTTCCATTGAATGTCTGTTTCTGGATATCGAATAATTCTATATGTCTTAAGCGGGCCAACGATCGCATGGTCTGATCCGTTATCTCTCCACTCATAATAATTTGCAAACTCTTGAGTTGAGGCAAAACGTCGCTCATCTGAGACAAGAACTCTTCGCCGATCTGATCGCTGCTCACCTTTAAGTGAGTCAATCGTTTGAGTCCTCGAAGAGTATTGATGTCCAGCACTTCATTAACATATGTGGGAAACATCTTCGTTGGATCAAATGACAACTTCTGGAGATTTCGAAAATATCCCAATTCGATGAACAGTCGCCGGAAGTCATAGTATTGCTCGACGGCTACAGTCATGTCCAGCGATCGGATTTTGGGACACTTTCGGGCGATGTTTCGGACGGTATGACAGAAATTGTTATCCAATTGGTGGACATTTAAGTGCAGTTTCAATGCCTTAAGACTTTGTAATTTGGATATACTCTCCACGATATTCATCGCCTGATTGGTGTCATTCTTGAACAGAGATATCTCCAGACGTGTTAACTCATGACAATTGTCCACAAATGTGGTGAACAGACCATTGGTATTGGCGTTAACCCTTCCCTCGATGACCAACTTCTTGAGGTGTTTGTGTATGACTTGATTGTCGCGAACCAAATGCGAGAAATACACACCACTTAAGGACAACAGTCGCGGACTCGCGGCCAACAGCGGCGGGTATTCAACGGGTCCTCTGATGAACTCCAGTGACCGCAAGTGTTGACCGTATTTGTCGGCCAAACGCGTGGACACCGCCAGCGATGGACTCCTCGGGACAGTCAAGTGTTGGATGTGATGGCAATTGTCGACCACTGCGTCCATCACGTGATCTAAATTATTGGTCAGACATCCGATCTGAAACTCTTGGAGGCCATCAAACGCTCGCAGATATCGTACCAATTGGTCGATGTCTACCACATTCATCTGTAGCAACGACTGGCCATTTGACAGCCATATATCACCGCCGGGACAGTAGTTCTCGCTGTATATATCTGCTAGCTGCAATTGAATCACATGACCGATGACTAGCCATCGCTGTTCTGAGCGTACGGTCTGAAGGCAGCGCTGGAACTGCTTCGAGACACCGCTCATCCGGACCTTGTCTTTGAGTGGCAGCCAATTGAGTACGAGTTGACACAAGTCATCGCAAATGCGGTCACCAAACGAGTCCCTCTTGTAGTCCATGTGTTGGTCTGTGCGGTGAGAGTTGTCTGTAAGTTGTGGTGCAATCATATAATCACCAAAAGTGATGACAATGTCTAATGTCTTATCTAATCATAAAATATAAACAATTGTTGCATAACTCGTGTCATAAACACTGCATTGCATTACATGTTTGTGTCCATAGAGTGCTCTCCTGTGTTAAGTCAATGATTCCCTTATGTAATGCTATTCAATGCCAATATGAGTGTATAGTATTATAGCTGATCCAGAGGGTGATTATGGTTACCATTGTTATTAGTTAATGATTTTTTTCATGCTAAATGTTAACCATGGTCATTCTTCTTGGATTCAATGTAAACGTTTGCTAAACTAATAAAACGACTCATTTTCCTATATATTCACAGCGAAAACAAACAGAATATTCTGTTAATTATCACTAAAACTAATGACAACAACAAAAGTAATACAAGTTTTGCTCACATTTTCAATATATAGCCAAATACTGTCGGCTCGAAGAGACAGTTAATCATTGAAAACCAAACAAATGTAATATTAATTGTAAAATTTAAGATCATTTTATTAAGAATGGCACTTAAGATACAGTAATTAAGTAATCAGTTAACTAATTATAAAATACATGTTTGAATAATACAACATGATTAATTAAAAAAAAAATAATTTTAAAAAAGTTTTAAAAACATTAATAGTTGGTAAAATACAAGAATCAATTATTGAATCAAATGAACATGGTAAGTATTATTATGCTATGGATTATGGAGTAATAATTGAATTAATAAAACATAAAATAATCATATAATAAATGAATGTCTAAATGGAAGGCAAATATGTATAGACAATAGTTTGGAACAACTTCTTGGATTTGGTATCAGTTTTCAAAGATAATGAGAATACAATATTAATCGATCACACCTTCCCAACCCGTAAACGTAATGTTTGTCAACTCTTTGGTGCAGTCCATCAGAAACTGTTCGACGTTCTCATCAATATTCACACCAATCATACGATACGTGTAATAAATGTCAGGGTTTTGAACCGCTTTTCGTATCAACGCGTGGATCAGATTCTCGCTTATGTTCAATGAATTTTGCATAAGAATTGTATGCAAACCATGACATCCATTGACCAGCGCTTCCACGCCCTCATCGGTCACAGACATGAGGTCATCGTTTTCATTATCAGTTTCATATATTTTGATATCTAGTAATTCCAGATGTCTTAAGCGGGCCAATGATCGCATGGTCTGATCAGTAATCTCTCCACTCATAATGATTCGCAAACTCTTGAGTTGAGGTAAAGCGTCGCTCATCTGAGACAAGAACTCTTCGCCGATCTGATCGCTGCTCACCTTTAAGTGAGTCAATCGTTTGAGTCCTCGAAGATTATTGATGTCCAACAGTTCATTGATATCTATCGGAGAATACTTCCTCGTATCGAATGACAACTTCTTGAGATTTCGGAAATATCCCAATTCGATAAACAGTCGCCGGAAGTCATAGTATTCCCCAACGGCTACAGTCATGTCCAGCGATCGGATTTTGGGACACTTTCGGGCGATGTTTCGGACGGTATGACAGAAATTATTGTCCAATTGGTGGACATTTAAGTGCAGTTTCAATGCCTTAAGACTTTGCAATTTGGATATACTCTCCACGATATCCATCGCCTGATTGGTGTCATTCTTGTACAGAGATATCTCCAGACGCGTTAACTCATGGCAATTGTCAACAAATGTGGTGAACAGACCATTGGTATTGGCGTTAATCCTTCCCTCGATGACCAACTTCTTCAGGTGTTTGTGTATGACTTGATTGTCGCGAACCAAATGCGAGAAATACACACCACTTAAGGACAACAGTCGCGGACACGCGGCCAACAGTTCCGGTTCCAGCGGCGGGTATTCAAGAGATGGTCTGATGAACTCGAGTGACAACAATTGTTGGCCGTATTTATCGATCAAACGCGTGGACACCGCCAGCGATAGACTCCCACTGATAGTCAAGTGTTGGATGTGATGGCAATTGTCGACCACAACATTCATCACTTGATCCAAACACTCTTTGTGCCATACGATGTGAAACTCTTCGATTCTATCAAACGCTCGCAGATATCGCACCAATTGGTCGATGTCTACGACATTCATGTTAAGCCATTTCCAACACTTGCCGGGACAGTAGTTCTCGCTATATGTCCACCGATCCACGTCACCAATGATTAGTCGTCGCTGTTGTGAGCGTACGGTCTTAAGGCAGCGCTGGAACTGCTTCGAGACACCACTCATCCGGACCTTGTCTTTGAGTGGCAGCCAATTGAGTACGAGTTGACACAAGTCGTCGCACACGCGGTCACCAAACGAGTCCCTCTTGTAGTCCATGTGTAGGTCTTTGCGGTGAGTGTTGTCTGTAAGCTGTGGTGCAATCATATGATCACCAGAAATGTGCTGACAGTGTGTGTAATGTGTTAACTAATCATATGATATAACATTGAGCCACACTATGGGATCAGTTGGTGATTGCATCAGAATTTGGCCAATGCTTTAATGAGCTATAGTTTGGGTGAAATGTAAACAATTGTTGCATAAGTTGTGTCACAAACACAGCATTTCATTGCACACATGTTTGTGTCCATAGAGTGCTCTCCTGTGTTAACAGTAAGTCAATGACTCATTATGTAATGCCAATACATGTGTGCTGTAACTGATCCAATAGGTGATTGTAATCATGGTTGCTATTGGTCAGTTATATCTTCCACACTAGATGTTTGATCCATTGCATGATTAGTTAATTATAGACTTAATTAAATGGTTTTTAATACTTTTTAATTTCAAATTACCCTTAAATATAAATTCTTAGAAAAATAACCAAAAATATGTGAAATTGAATTTAAATTATTTAAAAATGTTTTACAAATGATTTATAAATTTATAAATAATTACTTAATTACTAAAAAACATTTCAAAAACAAATGTTATTTATTTTATTTAAAAATTCACTAAAAATTTATGCCCTAATTATGCTTTAATCTCATTATCAAAGGAATGAATTGTTTCAGTCATTTAATCTTCTTTTTAATCACATCCTTATTGTTATTCTTCTTGGATTCGATGTAAACGTTTGTTAAACCAATAAAACGACTCATTTTCCTATATATTCACAGCGAAAACAAACAGAATATTCTCTTAATTATCACTAAAACTAATGACAACAACAAATGTAACACAAGTTTTGCTCACATTTTCAATATATAGACAAATACTGTCGGCTCGAAGAGACAGTTAATCATTGAAAACCAAACGCTGGCAAAGACTACACCGACGGCTATACCGACCAAACATTGACTCCAATAATGGTATAACAGGTATATCCTTAAGACATAAAACAAAAAACAACATTAATATCAAGAGCTGATCCAAAACTGCATTCTTTGTCTCAAACCATAGATACAGACCTGGAATAGACAACACCGGCGAAGAGTGTAGTGATGGCCACCACAAGCAGTGCCTTAAATGAATAGGACTTTCTCTTGAGCCGAAACACGAAGAATAGGAGACAATAGGCGGTGAAGAACGCCATGAACTGCGAGTGTTGTGATGGCATACCGTATGACCGGTTCGAGTGATGGGCGGCGCCGACCACTTGTTGCGGTCGCGGCTGACGGAACACTCGCTTCAATACCAGACACAGCGCTTCGTTCATCAGTTGACCGCCGAAGAAGAATATCTGAAAGAGTGGTAAAGGCGTTAAAACATATGTTACTTATAGTGGATCTGTTTCGGGTGATACTCACCACATGTATGTCCCGCACAAACAGCGTTAACGTTATGAATGCGACAACAATTCCGAATGGTGTCAGAGATAATAGGGCTAAGAGTTGGCCAATGATATCATCTGATGGATGAGTGGATCAGATGTGGTAATGAGAGGTAATTATATTGATCTCAGAGGTAAACAATGAAAGACAATGAAATGTCAACAAACCCTTGGGATATAACACATGTGTTATCGATAATGGTATCCATTCAGATGAGTGGATCAGATGTGGTAATGAGAGGTAATTATATTGATCTCAGAGGTAAACAATGAAAGACAATGAAATGTCAACAAACCCTTGGGATATAACACATGTGTTATCGATAATGGTATCCATTCTTCGGCCTCCAGGCGTTGTCCGCCAATCGATTCCATCGAGTCTTAAGACACCGGCAAAAGATTGATCCCAAAAAGTTGTGACAAAAACGTGTATTTCATTCAAAACTCAACACTAATTCAATGTTTACGTAAACAAACAGTGCATTGAAATCACGTGATTAGCACTCATTCACGCGATAGAGGGCTCAGTCTTGCGATGCATTCAATGATTGCATTCACAAAAACTTTTGTCAATTCATTGCAAAAGTGTTGTAAACTTTTTTTTTGTCATTTTTAACACACACTTAATCGCACGACACGTGCTATCACTTGAATTGTCCACCAATTCTTCGCCGCCTATTGTCTGCTATTCTTCGTGTTTCGGCTCAAAGCGAAAGTCCAACTCATTTAAGGCACTGCTTGTGGTGACCATCACTACACTCTTCGCCGGTGTTGTCTATTCCAGGTCTGTATCTGTGGTTTGAGACAAAGGGTGCAGTTTTTGGATCAGCTCTTGATATTAATGTTGTGTTTTTTGTCGTTTGTTTGATTCGTGTCTTAAGGATATAGCTGTTGATCCCAAACGCGTGCCGCTAACCGATAGTCATCATCAGTCTTGTAGATCAGTCCCACAGACACTGTATGTCAACATTGTATTCATTGAATGTGAATTAACAGTAAATTTAACTTTTAAATACAACATAACGTTTTTTCTCAGCAAACAATGGCATCAAACGACTTGATTTATAAAACAATAGTTGTCTTCACTATCAATGACTTCATTAAAAACATCAAAGAAAAACTATACATCGCTGAAGACATCTCGATTGGAACCGATAAGTGGAGTGTCTCTGTTTGCTTACGTGAAAGCAATGACTTTGGTTTTTGTCTACATCTACACCAGTGCGTCCACACCATCGGTGTTGAGTACAAGGCGTACATCCGTGACATCGATGGCCACTCACAATATGTCCACAAACGGGAGGCTTTTCAAGTGGCAGAATCACATGGATTCCGTATGTTTGTCACGTGTCCGCAACTATTGGATCAATCAGACAAATATATGCCCAATAATACGCTAACTATTGTCTGCGAAATCACTGTCGTTAAGCCCACGAATGGACCCGAAAGGAGACGACTCTTTGCCAACAGTTTTAACGACAAAGATCTCAACGACTGTCGACTCGTTGTTAAAGGGAAAGAGTTTTTCGCCTCCAAAGCCCTACTCAGCCATCACTCGGAAGTGTTTTATAATATGTTTAAGACTGATATGTCTGAGAAAACAACGAGTGATGTTGTGATCGACGACATCGACGCCGACGTCTTCGAGCAGTTTCTCCGGTATTTATATTTCGGTGATTCCGAGAAATTGTATTCAATGGTTGAAGACTTGCTATACGTCGCCGACAAATATATGGTCTCCGATTTGAAGACGATTTGTGCGAATCTATATTATCTCTCAATTACTCCGAAGACTGCGTTCAATATATTGAAAGTTTTGGAGAAACACAGGAATGAAGAGTTGGTGGCGAAGAGTATTGAGTACATTAAGACACATCTGAATCAATGTCTTGAGAAAGAATGGCATAAACTGGTCGGCAATGATAACAGTCTTATCGCTAAACTAAACGATGGCCTGAAGACTGAATGCAATGTCGAAATGTCTCAAATCATGTCTTATACTTATATGCCTTGAATCTAAACATTGTGTTACATTGTGTTAAACATTGTGATAAAATATTAGTATTTTATTTAAAGTTAAATTTTCATTTCCTTTATTAACATTTTTAACATTTATATTATTTTAAATATTATTTTATGTATAATTTACTAAACAATTGTATTTATTGAAAATTAATATCAAATATTACATCAAATTGGATTTAATACATGTTTTGTGTCTATGTTTATGTCTGTACTCCAAACATATGATTATTTTATTCTAAATTATAATTTAAAGTTTGTTAAATATTTTTTTCAGACTTTGCTTAACATTATGTAAACTTTGATACAATTATTTTGATTAGTTTATGTTTAGTTAATTACAATTTTTATTAACATTTTGCAACTTTTATTTCTGTAACCCTTAATACTGTTTTACATTTGAGTTATTTATTTAATTCCTATCAATAAAAGTATTCATTAAATTTAAAATACTATGAATTGAAATATTTGAGTGTTTAAACAATTAAGTATAGTGTTTGAGAAATTGCATAATAATTTAATTTAAATTTAATTGTATTAAAATTATATGTGATTTAAGTATTGGTATGTATTGTATGCCAGAGAATGACAAAGAAAGAAAAGAGAGAGAGAGAGAGAGAGAGAGAGAGAGTCGTTATTTAAAATGTTATTCATTATGCAATCGATGCCATTCTTCCAGTTCTTCAGCCGTCCATCAAATCATTGTTTGCCTCAAAATAAAAAATAATTAAATAAAACATTTTTAATACTTTTACACAAAAATAACTGTAATTTAATTTTTTGACAAACTTTACAAAAACAAAGTTATTTCTATGTATTTAATGGCTATCAATGATGTGTTGAATGGCTTTGAATACTGTGTTAACGATTGCATTGAAACACATTGTGTGCGAAGTTTTGGGGAGTATTAGATATAAGACGTAATTCACGGCAAGTATTGAATCATTGAAATTAAATCCCTTTAAAGACCACAACAAGTGTTTTGTTTCGCAACAAAAAATGGGATCAAATCAAGTGATATATAAGTCAAAAGTGGTGTTCAGTATCAATGACTTCATCCAATCGGCACAAGACGTGAACAAAGCCTATCGGGTGGACAGCGATAAGATCACCATCGGATCCAATGAGTGCAAAGTGACAGTCGTGTCGGTGGTTAACATCGATGGCCATAAATATGTGGGCCTTTCGTTCACATTATATCAGAACCAAAGCGAGACAATCGATGTCCGCTACAAGACATACATCCGCGACATCGATGGCCACCCATTGAACGAAAGAGTGGTCGACATTAAGCGAGTGAACAGTGGGTTGTCTTTCAGGCGCAGGAAGTTTGCGAAATACTCGCAACTCTTGGATCAAATGCACACTTATTTGCCGAACAATACACTCACTCTTGTCGTCGACATCACTGGCTATAAGACCATCGATGGACCCAAAAGGAGACGACTCTCTACCGACAGTTTTAATAACAAAGACCTCAACGACTGTCGACTTGTGGTCAAAGGGAAGGAGTTCTTCGCCTCCAAAGCCCTACTCAGCGATCGGTCGGAAGTGTTTGAGAAGATGTTTACCACTGATATGTCGGAGAAGACAACCAGTGATGTAGTGATCGATGACATCGACGCCGACGTCATCGAGGAATTCATGCGATACTTGTGTTGCGGAGAAACAGATAAATTAGAAGACATGATGGAAGACATGCATTACATCGCCGACAAGTATATGGTCTCCGATCTCAAGAATATTTGCGAGAATTATTATTATCTGCGAATAAATCCTAAGAATGCTTTTGAAGTGTTGGAAGTGATGGAGAGATACGGCAACGAAGAGTTGGTGGCGAAGAGCGCCGATTATATTAAGACAAATCTGAATAAATGTCTGGAGAAAGAGTGGTATAAAGTTGTGGGCAATAATGACAAACTGATCGCTGTGTTAAACAATGCCCTGAAGAGTGATTCCAATGGCAAGAAGATTAACGCCATGTCCTATACATATATTCCTCGAGTTTAATCATATGTTTATTAAAATCATTTATCCATTTATAACATTTCATTTAATTGACATTTATGTGAATCTAATAATTTAATAAACATTTGTATCGTTTTCTTAAAATTCAATATTAAAGACAATTTAATAATAAATATTAATGAATAGCAAATGTTTTGTGTAATAATTGTGTGTTTATATCATTACAAGTCATAAACACACAAATTATATTGTTTTTTTGTAATCTACTGTTAATTCAATAGGAATTCTCTCTCTCTCTCTCTCTCTCTCTCTCTCTCTCTCTCTTATTTGTTTTAAAAATATCTTGATTTGTGTCGGATTTTTATAGACATTTTCCTTACAAAGAAAAAACAATGATTTGATGGACGGCTGAAGAACTGGAAGAATGGCATCGATTGCATAATGAATAACATTTTAAATAACGACTCTCTCTCTCTCTCTTATTTGTTTTAAAAATATCTTGATTTGTGTCGGATTTTTATAGACATTTTCCTTACAAAGAAAATTTTCCTTCTTTTCATTCAATACAACACAACATTGATTTCAATTGAATGAAAAGCAGAATTGAATACCAAAATAATGTATTGACAAAAATCTCGGTAAACACAAGAATTTTGTATCACATAAAGTGCTGAATCGGTGTTCACACAGAATATACAGTAAGTAAACATTTTATTCGCATCACAATAAATATCAAAAATAAATTTTATTGACAAATATTTGAGAAATCATTGAATGTCTGACATATAAACTGCCAATCATTTAATATTTTATACAAATAAAAATCAATCATTTATATAATAAAAAGGTTGTAAAAGTTTTATTTATAAAAATGTATGAAAAATAATAGCATATAATATAGTAAAATAAATGTCTAAAAGTGAACATGGTAGATTCTATTTAAAAGCTATTTGTTTCAGGGAATTTATTTCAATTTGCATATTAATGATAATATGTATTATGAAAAATTAATACTTGCATTGTATGCAAAACTAAATCCCATCACCGAATGAAGATAAATGAGATGCTTATGGCATAGCGAACATTGACCATGCTCATTGATGAACAGTTTTGTGTTATACATGCTGTGGATTTATTTTTTCTTATACGAATTACTTGTCATTTCCTTAAGACGTTCATCTCGGTCCTTTTTGTCTTTCTCTTCCTTCTCTCTCTGCGCTCTCTCCCTCTGTTTCTGTGCCTCTTCTCTCTCCCGTCGCTGTCGATCGGCTGTTGTTTCGCAACACAAAAATTAATGGCAAACATAAAACAATAAGATATTAATATTGCAGTAATAAATATATCAAAATATAATAGACAACAGAATTAATCATAAGAATACTAACCATCAGAATCGCTTCCTCTACCGCTTCCTCTCATTATTGATTAGAAAATTGAATGTAATTTAAGAATTCAATATATACTTCAACATAAATTG